TTGTGAAAATTATTAACAGGAGAACTATATCGCGATGTTTACTTGAAATATAAGGACCACAGTGCTATCGGAATGTATACATTTTTCAAACCGACTCTTGTAATTGCCGATCTTGATCTTGTCCGAATGGTGCTGACAAAAGAATTTGGCAGTTTTCACGATCGCGGGTTGTATTTTAACGAGAAAATAGATCCGATGTCCGGTCAATTGTTTTTCTTACCCGGAAAAAAATGGAGAAATCTGCGCGTCAAGTTGACTCCTACTTTTACTTCGGGGAAACTAAAGCAGATGTTTGCAATACTCAAAGAATGCGGCAAAGATTTGGCAAAATCTTTGGAAAAAACAGCCAAGTCAAAAGGATATGTTGATATAAAAGAAATGTTTCCAAGGTATAATTAGATTTCAAAAACAAAGAAAACGTTTATAAATTTGTAATTATCTTAATCTAGTCGCTCTTCTTAATTAAACAGTAATAAAATTATACACTCAATCTTGCATGATAGGTATTCAACAGACATAATTATGTCAGCAGCTTTTGGAATCAAATCCAACTGCATAGAAGAACCAAATAATGAATTTCAATACTGGACAAAGAAAGTCTTTGAAATAAGTAACCTCAAGAATGCCATTTTTATGTTTGCATCTCCAATTGCCAATTTATTTTCTATCCCTATGTTTGATCAGGGTACTACTAACTTTTTTTTAAATGTATTTCGAGATAATGTGAAATACAGACAAACTCACAATATCGCCAGGCACGATTTTATGAGTCTACTTATACAACTTATGGAGAACGGTTATGTCGAGCCTGACGAAGAGAAAAATGTTACCGATAAGAATGATGTATCTGGTAAGTATAATTTAACGTTCAATATTAAACATACAACTGTTACGCGGCTATTAAATAAAATGATGTTTCGTTTTAGTGACAGCGACTACGAGTAAAATTTCTATGTTGGAAGCGGCTGCGCAAGCTTTTCTCTTCTACTTAGCTAGCTACGAAACTTCCTCAAGTACGGCAACCTACTGTTTGTACGAATTAGCCATAAATCAGAACATACAAGATAAGCTTCGACAAGAAATCGATCAAATACTGAAAGAACACGGAGAAGTGACTTACAATGCAGTAAATGATATGACTTATCTTCATAAAGTAGTAAATGGTAAGTTTGTTTGTTATTGTTGTAAAAATATGAGTTCTCTCTTTGTAAACAAACATGTTTGTCAGTAATCAAAAACTACAGATTTAATAGTACTTTACGTGTTGTGCAGAAACTCTGAGGAAATATCCGCCTGTACCGATGCTGAATCGTATTTGCACCAAAAACATAACTCTACCAACGAACATTCACATACCGGAAGGAACTTTAATTACCATACCAGTACTTGGCATACATCATGATCCGGCGATATATCCGGAACCGGATAAGTTTGATCCCGAACGATTCAACACGGATCAAATAACGGCCAGGCATTCATACGCTCATTTGCCATTTGGAGAAGGACCGCGAGCTTGTATCGGTAAGGATTAGCATAATCGAGGAATATATCTAAAAATGTCTTTACATTATTTGTATTTTTCAAACTTGCGAATTTATATAGTAGAACTCCCGTAAGTTCGAGGGGGGGGATCGCAATTTTAACTTCTACGGTATAACAGAGCACTAATTTTTCTAATTTCTGACTGCGCGTTTATCTCTAAAAGTCTCAAAAATAAAAAAGATATATCCTTATGTCTTGCTACCCAGTTAAGCGTTAACTCTAAATGGGAGAAATAATTTCGAATTCTAGACAGAATCAGTCAACATGCGTTTAAACTTAGTTACTGAGCGGTTTATTATATGTAAACAACATAACTAAAAAATATAAAAATTGCTCGTATGAATAAAGAAACTCTAGACAAATCTACGTTACTTATTATTTTTCAGGTACACGACTAGGTTATATGATGGTGAAAATTGGAATCGTGAATATAGTATCAAACTTTAAAGTAAAACTTCACCCCAAAACTCCGGTGCCACCGATCTTTGACAAAGCTACTACAGTACTTACTCCCAAAGGCGGAGTACCTTTTATAATTGAACCGCTATAAAACATCTCGCGCTCTCTACAGCCGCATTTAAACTACGTACGTCAATTGTGTAACAAATAATTACAATGTCGCAATCATCGTGCGAAAAGCAAACAAACAAATATGCAATCTTGTAATACCGATATTGATAATAAAGATAAATATTTGCAGAATCATCTTACAAATTATATCTCTTATCGTTGTTATTGACGTGACGATAAAAATATGAAGTGCTCTCAATGTCGCTTCTCGCATTTCTACAGTTTGCGCAGCAACAAATCAGTTTTATGAAAAAGATAAAAAAAGAGATACTTTTACATTGTCCATACGCTTTTCTTTTCCACTTATTTCGTTTACTTGTTATTTTGCAGTTTGCTACAAGATATAAGATAAAGTTATTGTTGGAATTCTTCAACCGCACAAAAATACTCTTGTAATATAAAAAAGATTAAACTACTAATTTTTTTAGACTTTACACAAAACAATATTCATTTAGTCTTACATGTTATACGTACGTAGTTTTAGTAGTTTGTCACTTTTTTTTGGGCTGTCACCCTTTCTTTGTTATTATAGCTTTTCGATCGTTCATGCGTAGCATGAAAGGTTTGCTTATTGGTTTATTATCGAAGAATAAAAATGAAAAAGAATGATATCAATAAGAAATATTAAAAAAAAATGCAGTTTGACAATTGAGGGGATAGAGAATTTCTGTTGTATAATATATTTTCTATGTCTTAATTGTTACAAAAATAATGAAATCTACATAAATATAAAAAGCTAAATACTTAACATAGGAACTTCACAAATACGATTATTTTCTAGAAAAAACACGATGACACATTTGTTCCAAATGATATATGTTGTATAAAATACGTATCTTCTTGCATTATATATATTAAAAGAAAAACGGTAAACATCTAGACAATGACTTGAAAGAAAATGTTATTATAAATAGTTTTGTTTACAATTTTTGACCATAGAAAACTAGTTTTTCTCGATTTATTTGTAGCGCTGGAATAATATTAACTTACAGTTACCGAACGGATACATTTGCAGCCAAAAACAGATTTCGCTAAACTTCAGTGGGTGAAGCAATATTTACAGACTAAACTGGTAAATCTGTATTATAACGCATATTATTATAAATTGGAAGTTTTCAAAAAAACAAGTATTTACAAGTAAATTGGTAAATTTATATTACCATATCGTGCATATTCGCAAAATAAATAAGATTCATCAATTTATGAATCACATCATTCTGGTTTTTTGCCTAAAATAATGTAAAAGATACTGTAAAGAAAAGAGTTCTAAATAAAGATGTTTATAAATAAAAAAGCATTATTTATATTCTACAAATAATATTATGATATGATTAAGAACATAGTTTTTATGCAAAAAGTATAATTGTACAAGTAAAAATCAATAGTTTTTATACATGGTAAAGATTATTTTTGTACAACTATGTTTTTAAAGTTTTGTACATGTCTATAAGATATGTTATTGCATTGCAGTCCACAACACATGCTTGCGATATTTTCTGTTTTGAACGTAGAGACGGCTAACAATAAAAGACTTTTTCCATATGCATTTTAACCTACAGTTCTCATTCTTTGAGAGTTGCACAATACGGTCGTTTATTTTATCCAACCTATTCCCGATATGTCTGTTACGGTAAAAAGTAAAAAAGCTTATTTTATATACCAATTTTTATACTAAAGAAAGTAACAAAATAATATATTTTATTTAGAATTCTGTGATTTTTTATAATAACAATAATACATTACCTTAACGTATACATAATTGTCAAGTCGTGTAAAGTAATATGTAAAGAGTAATTTACAATCCAAAATCCAAGGTATAATCGCAGTAACAATGTTTATATTATGCTGCGTTACGCACAATACATTACAATATCAAGAATATTTATCATACATACTATCATAAACCACGAAATCAATGACCATTTTATCGTTGTACCTTCTTTATCATACTCTTTAGATATTCCGAGCTTTACTAATGTGTCATTTACAAGATCGAGTTTTCTTATGCACTTTCGAAATGTCTATGAATACAATAATAAAAGGTAATTATAAAAGCGAGATATATCACATATTTAAAAAAAAAACATAAAACATAAGTGTGTTTGATACTATGTTGAATAATATGTTTTTAATACATTATCAGCAACTTATTTTTTCTTTAAAATAACTAGATTTACAAACTATATTGAAATTTTATACAGTTGACGTGATATGTTAATATCGGAAAAAGAACCAGTTACGAAAAATATCGAAAAAATAGTTTACGAAAAATATGGTAAATATGCCGATTAGGGAAGCAGCTTCCGACAACCACAGTTTGTTATATATTATCAAAGTCATGACTCTAAGTAACCTTCGAAAGATTTTAAGTAATGCTCACCGTTTGTTGAAAAGTTATTAACAAAAACTGTGTATAGAGAAAAACGAAAAATCAGCCTTTTACACATATACATTTTATGCATAATATACAATATTTTAGACGTAATATGTCATATATATAATGTTTTGTGAAGAATAAATAAAGGAAAAATTATAAAAAATACGATAACCCTAGAAACGCCAAGAGAAACGTTAGTTAACGAGAAAAACACTGAATAAAACACTTCTGCCTTAAACGCAATAACTGTATACTAACAGAAGCAATACACACAGCAATTATTATGACTAAAATATATTTTTATGTCTCATTCTTACAACAAGAAAACTATATACTTAAAAACGTACAAAAGTAGTAGTAATACAAAAAAAAATACAAAAATTCTAAAAGTAAAACAGTATTTTTTTAATTATTGAAAACACATTCTCGCATTTATTTTAGAAGATGTGTTTAATACAAAGGTGTCCACTTGTACCAATAAAAGAACAATAGTAAAAACCCAGACAGCAAACTGAAAGCAAATGTTATATAAATGTTATTTTCTCCTGTTCTTGAAAATTGAAATAAATCACATGTCTTGAGTTTATTTATTAATAGAAATAAATATTATTAAAAACTAACCGAACGGACAAACTTGTATCCAAAATAAAATAAACCCAATCCGTTAAACTTCAGTGGAAGAAGCGATATTTGCAGACCAAATTGATAAATCTGTATTATACACAAATCTAAAGATATTCAAGACAATTTATATAAAAAAGATTGTGTGCTTAAGTTAAATTACCTCATCATACGCATCTGCAAAACGAATAAGATTTGTCAATTTATGAATTACGATTTTGGTTCTTTCTGCCTAAAAGCAAAAATTAAGGTTGTAGAAAGAAATCTTTTTTATAATATTATTTTATATGTTATACACAAAGTTATATTACCTTGGCACTAACACTTTCACAGATGTGATTTATGGTTAGAAGTTTAATTAAAAAGAAGGTGGTCCATAAAGTGCTGGAACTTATAAAGTACCACTTTATTAATCCGTTCTCGTGGCTCAAACATAGCAGTACATGATATTGAATATAAGCATATCCCGTAAACGTAACAAAATAAGATGCCATTTGTACTGTCATTCGCGCTCCGTATAAAGCGTTAATATTGCGAGCTACATGGCAAAGTTCCAAATGAAGATGCCTACAGAAAATAGAAAAGTTTTACATAAATATTTTTATATACTTATAATTATTTATATAAGACAGTAAAAAAAAAGTGGGTTTATAGGCATCTTTGCCTTTTATTTGACAGTAAATGAGAGATTTGTGTTAGTAACTATCTAATTATCGATCAGCATTCTTTACATTATGTAAATTACGAAATTAGTTCTTAATTATACAATCAATACAAAAGTATTACAAAAGTATGCAGAACTTTGTACAAGTAAAAGTATAAATTATTGAGTAATCAGAACACATTAGTTTTATATGTGATACAATTGTTATTTACAAAATAGCTTTCTTTTACTATCTTTATATCTGTTACTTTAACACATACTAATAATTTACATTGCAATCCACAATATACGCTTCCGGTATTTTGTGTGTCGAATATAGTGACGATTAACAATAAGAGAGGTTTTCGACATACATCTCAGGTCATAGTTCTCAATCTCTGACAATTGTACTATATGATTGTTTAATTTATCCAATCTAATACCGATATACCTGTAATATTAAAACAGAAGTTCAAAAACTGCCGAATTTTATACACTTATATGACAAAGAAATGAATAGATAAAAATTTCAATGAAGATATTTGAAAGTTTTTGTATTTATCGTACATTACTTTAATAGGCAAATTGTGAAAATATTGCACACAATTGGCATCATAAATTACGACGATTCTGCAATGATTGTACTAAGATGATTTGCCATAACGTAATAGTTTTGTCGAAATAAAATTTTGTAAATAATATTTGTAAAAACTTGCGAAAAAGTCGGTATGCATTTCTATAAGTATATGCATGAATTAAGTTAAGTTCTTCATATGCAATTATATTTATCCATATTTTAAACATCACATAGCTAAAATTTTTTTCAATTATTGAACAATTTTTTTTAAAATTAATTTTGCAAATATATTACTAAGAAGATTCGTCATATCGTTATTCTTTTGCCGAAATAGTATTTGGAAAGTAATTTTGCAAACAACTACAAATATTGTATAAAAGATCAGTGGTTTTACATACATTTTCTAAAATATATTTGTATAATTGCAAATTTTAGTGCAAAATTTTGTCACATAATTGTGTAAATGTTTTCTTATCAAGGTAGCAGTATGTGTTATACTAGCGTGCAAAGTCGCAATATGTTATATTATGTTTATTTATTTGTCATATTAACATAGTTTATATTTAACAATACGTATTTTATGTAATACAGTATTGTTTTCTTGTTGTTAATATTAAGTATTATGTATGGATTGTACACACATACACCCATACAAACACTAACCTTAAAATAGACACAATCATTAAGTCTAGTATAGTATTGATATGTATGGGGTACTGCTTAGCCCAAAACCATAGTAAATCTTGAAGAGTCACTATATAGTTCAGATTTGTGCCTATTAAAACATCAAAAATATTTATTGCACATAATATCATAACCCATATAATCAGTGACCACTTTATCTCTTTTCGAGTTTTAATGAATTCTTTAAATATTCCAATCTCTTCTAACGTATCATTTACAATATCTAATTTTTT